GCATCGAAGCTCAATATAAAGTAGGATATTATTATGATAATGGAATTGTAATTGACGTTGATAAAGAAAAGGCTTTTAAATTATATAAAGTAGCAGCTAATGAAGGTAACTGTGATGCAGAAAAAAGTCTTGCATATTTATATGAACAAGGCGTCTGAGCAAACAAAGATATTTTATCGGTATAAGAAAGCCGGAAAGCTTTAATATTTTTGAATGTGAAATAGAATTCTATTCAGTGAACCTAAAATCTAAGATAGGTCAAGGTTTATGGATTTAAAATGAATTTTCTTATTTGTTATCGTATCTAATTGATAAAACAAATTGTTTCTTGCTAAGCCGAATCTAGAAGTATTTGTTATTGAAATTGAATTGCTGATTCTAACTTACCTATATAAGTTTATTTCGTGTTCTATCTGAACACCAATCTGAAGACTTCTATAGCAGTAATACAATAATTTACCATTTTACTTCCATGTTTTAAATTATACTTTTTGAACCTAAACATGATCGTCAATTTTAAATCAATAAATTTATATAATAATGTCTGATTAACGATTTGAATTTAATAGTAAAGAAATGAAAGTTATGGAAAAGCTTCACCCTTTTTATTTCAATAACAAATGGATAATTATTGAAAAGTCACCGCCCTAAATTCTTTTATTGGTATATATATTATTATTATACATTAGAATCATTCTCTGTTTTTATAGGGTTCCAGGAATTGATCAAGAAACCTAATGACACAAATACTAAAAAAAATAAAAGTAATAATTTTACAAGTAAAATAAAACATCTCTTATAAAATCTTATGTCACAAATATATGAACTATAAAATATTAAATTATTCTTCCAGTATCTAAAACTTGATTTTGGAATGACGGCAAAGACTTCGAATTCATCTAAAAGGTAATTATCTGGTACCTTAATTCGAGGAAAGAAACATAAAGAATGAGAAAATCTAACATGACATTCTCTCCCGTGAAATGATAAATTATTAAACCCAAAGCTCAGGTAAGGATAACCTCTATAAGCTGTAAAATGTGAATAATCATATTTGATCCTTGCCACCGTTGCTTCCTCTTGAAAATTGTCATCATTCCTCTTTGCGGAAAATATAAATCCATTTTTTGTTCTAGAAGAAGAATACGGTAATTCTGATGTTGTCCAATACATTGGGTTATAACCTCCGATTAATTCTTGCTTTCCTTTAATTTTCGCCACAACTATTGTTGGACCCTTATAATAACAATGTTTTTTTAAAGCTCCATAAGTGAATCCATCACGACTTCCACGATAGAGAAGCTTAAAGTTATAAGGGTTATCATGGTAATCGTACATCATGGGCTTAGTGTCCTTACTAACTTTATCTTTACCATCAATCCAACTTGCTAAAATAGCGGCATCTTTATAGGTTACAATTGTCGAATCAATTGGTTTCACTCTTGCAGGAGCTCGAGGGTAAAATTTAAACCATCTTGAATGATATTTTAATACGTTCTTATAAAGATCATCTAATAAACATAATGGTTTCAAATTAAAAAGAATTTTTTTTTTTTTTTGGAAATTAGACTAATTTCTTCCAACTTTACCTGGTAAAATTGCTCTAAAAGGTACCACGTTATCCTTAAATTCTTTTAACGACATTTGATAAAACCTGATTAAAGGAATGATTTTTCGTAATCGATCTTTTAATATATCAAAATCTTCTCTGGACCATTTTGAAACATCCAGATCCAAATGAGGATTTTGTAAAATTCCCCACTTAATAATTTGTTGCCATATATGAACCTCTTTCAAAAAGAAATCATCGCAATTTAACAAAAATAAAAGGGTATCCTCAGGCAACTCGGGTAAAGATTCCAATTTGAATAATCGTTTAGGGTCTTCATAAATCATTTCCGTAAAAACCTTTTGCAATTTCGCAAAAGTTGGATGCTGATAAACTGTTTTTGCGAGGGAAGAAAAATTTTCTCGTAACCAAAATATACGTTTTGTAATAATACAATCTTGAATATATTCACACAATTCATTTAAGCACAATTCATCTGAGGCTTCAAGAAGAAGGATTAAATCTGAAGATCCTTGTCTATCTAAATTAATCGTTCCACCATACAAATATCTAGGGAATAAAAAAAAAAATTAAATATTTGAATATATCTAAAGTTTCGAAAGTACGCTTGAAAATAATACATTCATCTATCTTTTCTTACCTTAATATCACTTCAAATGTCTTTGGAAAGATATTTGGTTTGGCAAAAATGAATTTATCATCATCTTTCTTTATCCAATTATTTGATAAAGCCACTTGAAAGTAAGGACACCTCGCGCATAATATTGCAGAATGAACCCTAAAAGTATCGATAACAGGTTCTTTGCCTATAGTAATTATTAAATCATAGCAAAGTTCATTCTCTAAAATTTTATTAAAGTCGTTTGAAAGCGTTAATAAAAATGTGTCCATAATAAGAAAAAAAGAAGAAAAAAGTAGTAAGAGAAAAAGGGGGAAAAACAAATCAGAAAAAAGCATTGCTATTTGTTTTTGGGATCTTCATTTGGATTTTCCTTTTCTAAATAACCTGTTAAATGATCATCAGGAAATCATCCCGAAATTAGTTAAACATTACTGTATGCTTAAATAAATTGTCGTAATTCTAAACTAGGGGGATTTTATTAATGGTGATTTCCCCTGCGTACCTTCAAAAAATGTCACAAAATTTCACGTGATATATTTTGTCACCGGTGTCACTTCCCTCCGCGTTTCAATTTTACTAAGTATTATGGGGAGAGAATTTTCAGTAATTAAAAAATCTATTTGTCACCTACTATACGTCAAATGTGCGCCACCAGCCAAAATGCCGTGATGCCGGCCATTTCGTGACAATTCAAAATGGTCTACTGCGCCATAATAAATTAATTGTTACACAATATTAATAAAGACTGTGAGCTGTAAAAGTAAATAATTCAATACGTCGAATTAAATACAATACTTTATCACAATCATGCCATTTGAAGAAACGGCAAAGGTAATGGCAAATTAATTGATAATATTCCTTTATTGAACTCTTGGTTTTACCTCAAAACTCTATCTTTCAACTCAAGAAAAGTACAGGATATTTATTACAAGTAAATTTACTAATAATATAACATAATTAATAAATATGATAAATAAAATAACTAAATAACTCTACTTAATCATTGTAACAAATATAACTGATAACTATTAAATCATATATGAGATTCGATCAATATGGTCACGTAGTATGCCGCAGTCATAAGTCACGGCTTCAACGGAAGGTATAAATATTTTTACAATTTGAAAAGAAATAGATGGCATACCAAATGATTGTTTAGGAAGTTTGTAAATTTCACATTTCAACGTTGTTTAAAATAATCAAACAGAAGACATGTCATGTAATAATATTAATTTTTTATTGATTCAAATGCAACAAAAATGACGGGAATTTACATACAAGTCAAAATTTTAGTTTCGAAATCTATTTTAAAATTGTTTAATTTACGTCCTTAATCGCATTGCTTCTAAAGGTAAATGAAAAGAATAAATCTCTAACATCGATAAAATATTGATACATGAACAAACAAAGATATATTAGTTTATTAATTATAAATGTTTTTTATCTCGAGTAAATTTTAACATTTTTTGTGAAAATATTTATCCCTAAAAGTTTATGGGACATTTGATTGAAATCTATAATATTGCAAAAATGAAAAGTATATTAGGGATCTAAGTTTTGTCAATTTTGACCGAAAAAATTATTTTTTTAGATTAATTGAAATAGGGTCAGATCTTTTTCAAATATTATTAATTAGAGTACATTCATTATAACCTAATTTAATTAAATATTTTTAAATCTTTAAATAGTAACTATAATCATTTAATATATTGTTATATATAATCTCCAAATAATATCCTTATACAAAAATGTTTAAATGCAACAGGGTCAGAAAAACTAATGAATTTATCGTCAAAAAGTAACTTATTGATTATAAAATTTTATTTCAGTCTGACATACTTTTAATCACTGTTTTCTATTTTTATACTCGAAGAGTTACACTCTATAAATTAAATTAATATTCTGTACGAAAAGCTCATAATTTTCATCTGGCTTGAATTTTCTATTAAAGTGTTTTATTTTGCAAAATGAACTTCAAAATTTTAAATCCATGACTTACAGTATATTGGCATTCTTAATAGTCTGTTAAAAAAAAAAAAAAAACTAAAATAAATTATTTGATCAAAATCAAAAAAAATCAAATAATATGAAGATTTTCGTTCTTCCAAACGATATTGATTTGTATGTTTGCTTGAGGTAATAATGAATGTTTAATAAAAAAAAAAAAAATAATAAAAATAATAATAAAACCTAAAAAGGAAATCAATAGAGATAAATGATACGAGTAATTTTAATTTTAGTCGCAAATAAGCAAACATTGTAATGATATTATTTACTATTGTGCACTTAAATGAGCAAGTACGAATGGAAGAGTAATAAAGAAAACAGACCAAGTAGCAATTCTAAATTCAGGTTTCTAAGGGAATTATTACTAATCGCTTTCTATTCGAAGGCATTATCTCATAAATTAGTAGTTCCCCTTGATAATGATTGTATTTCAATTAAAAGTTCTTTTAATCATTCAAATCAAAGTAAACAGGAATCATTAATAAATTTGCTTTCTAATATAGCTATTTCATTTATGCTGATGTTTCAGGAATATATACTTAAGATTTTCTACATTTTAACACCTCTCGGATAAAATTACAAGAACTATCCCGTCTGGTATGCATTCCACTACACCATTCAAGCATAGTATTTTCGGAGATATATACTACTACTTTGAAAATGATACGTCTATTATATTGATCATTAAAAAAAGATCAAATTTTAAAATTTACATCCTATAGATTTAATTTTGATCAGAAGCATTATAGAATTTTAAGTTTTAAATTTTGAAGCTAATGTTAATATAAGAGACTTTTAAAGCGTCAACTTTTTCTCGTGCGTATTTAGATTAATTGGTCATATCGTTAAATTGTTAAAGGTTTCTATGCTTAAGAAGTATGATTCATGAAAATTCCTTCGAAAATTTTATAATTTATGCAATATTTGTCACGTGTTAGGCATCAAAGCATATTTCCTTAATTCATTTGAAGAAAACTATTAATTTAATTTTATTCTAATAGTAATATTTGACTATTAAACCTGAAATAATAGTTCGATTATTGGGGACAAAGAAGCTAAATCTAAATTAATTCTAATAATATAACCGACCGTCAAACTATCTCTATTAAAATAGATTTTTACGTTTGAAATAAAAATCCAGAAAATGAATTTGTCATATATAATACTTGTTTACATTCTACAATATTTTGCCAAGTAATTTAAAAATGAGCTTTATGATTTATGTAATAAAAAAAACCCCATATTTTGGACCCTTATTGGTAAGATTTAAGATACTGAAATCGTACCAAATTGTCTAAATAAATTAGGACACTGTTTTATTCATAAGGGTAATGCAGAGCTTCCGATTTCTCTGAGTGTAATATTTGAACTGATTGAATGGAAGATATATTGTTATACATCAAGTCTCGAGAAGATTGCTAAGCAAGAAGACCACAGGTGCAAGGTGAGCCAGAAGTCACTTGACAAAAATATGGCGGTGAGTAAGAGCATTTTTGTTAAAAATTCTGGGAATGAGGAGTGAGATACAGTATATGTAACTAAAGGATAGTATATAGCACAGATATCCCTCTGGGTTCAGAGCGGGCTGATCTCGTTTGAGGTTTAGAGTGACCTTCCGAGTTGTTCTATCGTTCAAGGCTTCGGGTGGATAAAATTATCCAAAATTTCAAATTAATTTTTTATAACTAAATATGTAGGGTTCTTGACCAGATCGTGAAAATATGAGAGAATGATTGGACAAGAAATCCCATAATCAACCCACTCACATCTAAAAAACATTGCGAAATATTGTTGCTGGAAATGGTATCATTCCGATTTGGAATTTCCAAAATGATATATTTGCTCATTTTGACTACATCAGTACTAAAGTAAACGTTCTTAAGTCAAATTACAATAGAAGATTCTTCAAGATAATCCGAAAATTATTATGCAGCAAGTGTTATCTCCTAATTTCGTAGGGAGGTAAGTAATTTATAATTCAGATCACTAAAATTGTGCTGAGAGTCCCCTAAATTCAAAATCTAACTTTGCTTTTCTAGGGTTGAATATTAGCTGAGATTGAAGGTTGTTGCACTCAAAAAATAGATTCTTCTATATTTCCGGTGCTTAAGGTTTGTGATTAATTGCATAATTTGGAAGATTATTTGTATTATATAAATTATAGTTGAGTCGTCATTATTAGATAATTAAGAATATATTTGCAGCGTTTGATTTTCAATAGGTTTTACGGCCATATAAAGACAGGGAGGATGCTTTCCCAAGACAAGCTATCGGACTTGTATAGAGACAATGTAGGCATATATAATTCCTGAATATCAGAGGTGTATGTATTGATTTACCATTTCAT